GACTCAAGCCCAATCCAACTTATGGTCTTGGCCCTTGTCCAGAGAGATTTTTTTCTTCTTCCAGAGATAGTCATAAGGTCTACCTGGGCCAATGAGGGCTAGACTGAGGAGCTCCCTGCATAGACATTCTATTACTTAGAACTGCTGGGAACCATCTTGCCATCAAAAGAGAATTACTTGCCCAAGAATGGGGCTGACAAGATGCACAGCAGAGATAAGAGATGAGCCCTTCAGCCCTGATATCGGTGGTTGAGCCCCTAGGTCCACACAGACCTGAAACTTGCATATATATACATAAAACATAAACATTCTCTATATCGGAAAAAAATTATCAAACAATTAAAAGGTAAATAGAAAAGGAAGAAAAAAATGTTTGCAATCTTCAGGATTAATAGGATTTGCCCTAACAAATAACAAGGAAATATTACACAAAATGGGAAAAAATATAAACGCAAAGTTGGCAAATGAAAAATGTAGAAATATTTTAAAAAATAATGTTCAGTTTCTAAAATTTAAACAAATGAAATAAATAGAAACTAATTTTTTCCAATGACATAGCTAAAGATTGTTTTAAATTTTATTATCCAGAGTTGGCAAGTGTGTCATTGACTGCTGGTGAGAAAATAAATTGATATAATCTTTCTGAAAGGCAATCTAGCTATAATAAAAATGAGTGTACTTTTGAAACAATAATTCTTCTTCTAAAAATTTATTTAAGGAGTTGCTTAAGGGTGTGTGCATAAATTTCCCCTACTCATGTTCTCACTGATTTTTATTTATAAACAAGAACATTGAAAACAGAATGTCCAAAATATAAGGGATTCAATAAAATCTATGCATTCCAATACTATTCAGCCAGCCAGTGTCGCTCATTGGTTGAGCATCGACCTATGAACCAGAACAGTGATGGCGAACCTATGACACGCGTGTCAGAGGTGACACGTGAACTCATTTTTTTGGTTGATTTTTCTTTATTAAATGGCATTTAAATATATAAAATAAATATCAAAAATATACGTCTTTGTTTTACTATGGTTGCAAATATCAAAAAAATTCTATATGTGACACGGCACCAGAGTTAAGTTAGGGTTTTTCAAAATGCTGACACGCCGAGCTCAAAAGGTCCGCCATCACTGAACCAGAAGGTCACAGTTCAATTGCTAAGTGGAGCACATGCCTGGGTTACAGGCTCAATCCCCAGCAGGGGATTCTCATCATTGAAGTTTCTATCTTTTTCTCCTTCCTTCTTCTTTGAAATAAATAAAAGTGTATTTTAAAAAAGTAAAATGTTGATTGAAAATATACATGTATTGAGGAAGTTCATGATTATTAAGTGAAATAAACAGCTTACAAAACCATATATAATATTCCCCTGTAATCCATGGGGGATACATTCCAAGACACCTAGTGGAGGCCTGAAGTCGAGGACAATACTGAACCCTATATATATTATGTTTTTTTCTATACATACCTATCAATGATAAATTTTAATTTACAAGTTAGGCACAGTAAGAGATTGACAACAAAAACTAATACTAAAACAACAATTATAACAATATACTGTAATGAAAGTCATGTGAATGTGATCTCTCTCAAAATATTTTATGGTACTACTAGAGGCCTGGTGCACAGATTCGTGCACAGGTGGGGTCCCTCAGCCTGGGCTGCACTCTTTCGTAATCAGGGACCCCGAGGGCGATGTTGGACTGCCGGGTTTTGGCCTATCCCCGCCTGTGGCCCAAGGGATGTAGCAGTGCTGAAGCGGCAGGCGGCTGGGGAGGAGCTCCAACCGGGGACAGGAGCAGCTTCACTGCTGCTCATCCTGACTGGTTGACCGGTTGTTACGGTCATTCGATCCTAACGGTCACTTAGGCTTTTATATATATAGATACTCACCCTTTCTCTTCTTGTGATGATGTAAGATGACACAGTGCCCACAAGATGAGATGAAGTGAGGTGAATGATGTTGGCATTGTGACAGAGTATTAGGGCTACTACTGACTTTCAAACAATAGAGGATACTTGAACACAAGCACTGCGATACCATGTACACAGGTAGAGACACTAGACCAGTGATGACGAACCTATGACACGCGTGTCAGAGGTGACACATGAACTCATTTTTTGGTTGATTTTTCTTTGTTAAATGGCATTTAAATATATAAAATAAATATCAAAAATATAAATCTTTGTTTTACTATGGTTGCAAATATCAAAAAATTTCTATATGTGACACGGCACCAGAGTTAAGTTAGGGTTTTTCAAAATGCTGACACGCCGAGCTCAAAAGGTTCGCCATCACTGCACTAGACAAAGGGATGATTCACATCACGAGCAAGACAGAGCAGGAAGATAAGATTTCATCACAATACCCACAATTAATGTCTGACATAAAACTTATGGATTATTCCTGGAATTTTCCATTTTTAATATTTTCAGACTATGGTTGACCATGGGCAACTGAAAACACACAAAGCAAAACCGAGAGTAAGGGGGAACTACTGTAGTATTAGTCTACATTTTAGTTGTATAAATGTACACATGGGAAAAGATCTACTAGGATACACATCAAATGATAGTGAAATCCCTGGGTGGTAGAATTATGAATGGCCTAATTTGTTGCAGGGTTGTTGTTTTTTAGCCTATATGTATATTTCATTCTGTCTCCAGTGAACTTTTATGAATTTTCAATAGAAAAATACATATATATTTCAAATTCATAAAAAACCTCTCAGAGTAGTTGCACTTGTGCATTTGAAGCTAAAATCATGCAAGCTGTTAGGGAGAGCACAGATAATGAGAAAGCCAAAGGAGTGGACTCTCTTTTTAGAAACTTTGGTTGAAAAAACAAGGAGAAAGGGTTTTAAGAACACGTGTGGCATAGAGTTATTACGATGGAGTGCCTGTGCGTTGGAGAAGAGGAAGAGACAAAAATGCAAAAAAGAAGGAACCACTGGGGGTGATGTCTAGTGAAGCCTGCACTATAGTGTGCTTTCCGTTCTCCAGTAGCTTCCTTTGGGCTTGGCTGGGCCCCCTCCCCCAGCTTCACACATGCCCCTTACGTTGAACAGGCGAAGGGCACAGAACTTACCCAAAGGCAGAACCTATATTCCCAGCCTCTTGGTGTCTTAACCCCCTAACTAGGTGCAACAGGCACTTTTCGTCAGCAACTTCTGCCAGTGCAGAAAACCGCACACTGGAAGCCCTGGGCAAGGCCCCCTCACCCCCACTCCCACAGAAGAGTGAGCACCAGCCACAGCTGCAATCGTGATGCACACCTAACCTTCCTAATGGAAAAGGGAGTTTTCAACAATTCATACGGGCTCTGTAAGACACATTCCGTTTTCTTTTCATTTATTTTTGGCATATCAACAGCTGGTGACCTAGATTAAGAAATAATATGTGAAAAGCAGACTGTATCGCTAAATTCCTTCACAGATGGAAAGTGGATTCAATGAAAAGCTTCAGACCAAAGATTCAAGTTAATCGCTTGGAGGGACGGGGAGAATACCCACAAGTGGGTAAAAGGAAGTATGAAAAAATGATGACAAAACCTGGCTCCCATCCCAGTAGATCCTGGCTACTTTTTGGACAAGTAGCCAGGGGCTGGACGGGGGCAGGAGCCTTGCTAATTCAACTGCTGAAGGAGCAGCGGGAGAGGACCCCGGTTAGCTCAGGATGAGCTTGGCTAGATATTAAAAGAAATACAATCCTCTTACTGCACTGAGAGTGTGCATGTGCGGAGGGAGGGACCAGAGGCAGCCACCCAGGCTCAGCCTAGGGACAGGCAAGGGGACCAGGGCCCCTTTCAGCTCATCTTCTAGGTCAGCAGGAATTGGGGGCAGCCGAGCCTGTCAGAGCAATGCAGTCAATCTGACTTTCAGTAACACAGGCAAGTGCTAGTAACCGGCATCCCAGGGATGGAAAACCCTGCCACGTGAAAGAGAGAACACAGCTGGACTGATAGAAGCCATGGAGTTCACTCGCCCGTGTTCATTTTCAAGTCCAGCGCTCAAGCGACCCCAGGAACGTCCTTTGCTCAGGACACACATGGGGACCCCAGGGCCCGCAAGGTCTTCATGATAAGACGTCTCCGGGCAGCCAGGCCAGCCCTGTGCCTGGTGCCATCCATACCGCTCCCACTGCTCGGGGCTGTGCGGAACGAGCCGGGATCCATTCGTGCACATGCATCTCTGGGTGAGAAAAATACATCACCGGGGCCAAGCGACTGAGGGTCTTGTGAAGCGACAGGGAACCAACCCGTGCAATACGGATTTTTTAATGCAATAAAACGTCCTTCTTTGCACAAAAAATGTGCAGAGCAGAACTGTTAGGCTCGGGTCAGATTTACTTCTGACCTTCCAGAGAAGGTCACGGGCGTCAAAGGGGGCGCATACTGGGAGATCGAAAAAGACGGGGGG